TGAAGTATGATACCCGAAATTTTTCGCGATTATACTACTTCCTTTACTTCGTACAAGAAAATACGAGGGAAAATATATCAATATTGCTTTCTTTTTATCCGCAAAATACAGGTTAATTTCTAAAATTAGAAGTGGGTAGCTCTGAGGAAATCCGTCACGAAAGGAAATAAAAATAAAGGAATAAAAAAAAATAATGACTGAGTAAAACTAAGAAAAAGGTAAAAAAGACCCCCAAAAATTCATTGTAAATAGTTAAACTACAGATTAAAGTAGAGTTTGCCTAATTTGCCATTTTGAATTACGATTTCAGTCAGAAAACAAGAAGTATTATGTCCGGGGTTCGTTGAGCTGTGACTGAATTTAACTCTGTAGAAAAGAAAATAATTATTTTATTAAAATTTTGTCAACAAAACTAGATTTACTTATTAAGCACATTATTTTTTAGGCAAAAGAAATGAATATGTGTTATTTGATAATTTATTTGAGACAGTTGCGGTCCCTCTAGTATTGAAAATTTCTTTCGAATTGTCTTTTTGATTTTGGGAGCTGCTTGAAGATATGCTTAGAATCTTAAGGTCAGCTCGATAATTTAAACGTGAAATCTGAAAAATCCAGATAGCAGTCTAGAACCTCGTAAAAAAGTTTATCAATAAAAAAAAGTTTTTAATTTACACAATATATAAAATTTGAAATATGAAAAGGCATATAATTATTTCACTTGTTTTTTTAACAGAAAACTGATGTTGAATAGGATAGAATTTCAATTTTAAAATCTCCGTTCATTTACGCAGCGTTTTTTAAACGTAAAGAGGTATAAAAAATATCAAAATACTAAAAGTCTAATATCATTTGTGCAAAATTAAAAAATATAAGATATACAAAGAAGCTCTCATTTCATATAAAGCCTCAAATTTTCAAAATAGTTGTTGGATTTTATTCTCGAAGCAGGCAAAACGTACGCAGAGAAAGTTTAATTTCGATCTTTCCTTAGGGTATTAGAAACTTGCATAATATCATTACATTCTGGAATTCATATGACTGAATTACTTTTTTGTGGATAAAAATATCTGCTATCACTTCTATTCCTTTTCTTTTTGTTTTTGTAGATAGTTTTGCTTCGCACGGAAAAAAATTTATTGTAATTTTTCCGTCTTTCCGCAATAAATCAACGTAACTTTTTTAAAAAGAAAGGACTAGTTAATCTGTTCTCGATTAATTCATTGTATATATGTTGGTATCCGGTTAACTAAAAAGAGCTCCTATTTATAGTAGGTATTATGGGTTAATGGGCTGGAAACAGTTCCCAATTCGCAATTTTTGTATTTATTTGCATAACATCTGCTTTTGTGGTTAAAAACTTAGTTTAAATATATATATATATGTAATACTGAGTTTTGAAGGGAGCAATTATAATATATTTATCTCTTCAAAGATATACGTATATTTTTGGAGGGGTGCTGCTTAGAAAAACATCAAGTGGTGTATCTCTTAAACGCTAATTTCGAAGTGTGTATATATATATATATATATATATATATTATGGTAGTTGTATTTCACACTGAATTCCTGAAAGTAGTTTAACATGATTTTAGTTTGTCAAAATCAACATTCTAAAATTCTTCTTCAAGCGCAATTATTTCTGAGCGTTAAATAAATATGTCAAACTGGTTATTTTTCTGGAATTATTTTCCTGTTCTTTATTCTGTTTTGCTTTCAAGTACATGTGCGTGTAAAAAATTGGATGATGTATCTTTTTTTTTCCTGTTAATTCTTCGACTGTTATTTCCTTATTATAGGGTCGGTATTACGTTGCTTATATTGTCGGTGAAGGCGACTCTATTAGAGAAGAGGAGGGAGATCCAAACAATTATATATCTAAATACATAAAATATGGTGTTAAAAATAGCTTTTAGTAATTTTTAATAATGCTGCAAAGTTCAAGTAAGGTATTGTAAACGAAATATCTAAAATCAAACATAATATAAGCGTTGCAATAACGCTGCGAATATTCACAAAATTGTGCATTGGGCCAATATATAATTTTTAATCAATCTGCAACTGCTTAAACAAATTATTTAAAAGGAGTAAAACACCAATAAATGCTGAATTCTTTAAATCTTTATCTGAAGCATTTGTTTTTCTTAATCTTTTCTTATCTTTGTTTTTTTATTTCTTAGCTTAGGTTTTTTTTTATCTCCTTATCTACCTGTTCTTATCCCTTCTTATCTTTAAATTAGCTTTTTTTTATTTTATTTTTATTATTCTTTTCTAATCTTCTTTTTCGTTTTTCTTAATCTTTATACTGAATACTTTAAATCTTTATTTTACATTCTTAGTAATAAATCTATATGGTATAATCAAAATACCCTTAATTTTTAATACATACAACCATAACTTACTAATTTCAGTCGGAGCCCGGCTTCGTTTTTCTTAGTTTAAGTAAAACTGTAATTTATGTAAACTATAATTAACGCCTTATTCGGAGCTTCGAGTAAGGTGAGACTTCAGAATTTTAATTTATTATTTAATTGATTGTCATTAATTTAATATATTTATCTTTTTTTATTATTTTAATCGTCTATTTTTAATTATTTCATTAATTTATATATAAATTAATTTTACTAACAGACTTCCATAAAGCTGCGGTGCTTCTAATTTTTCAAAATTAAAACTTAATACAATTGAAAATTTGTGTGAAATTTTTTTTATTATTTTAATTAGTAAAAGTATTTCCAATGCTTCCTAATTAACGCCTCGTCGTAGAATTGTTTTAGTTTTATAAATTAGATGTATAGAAACAATAGAATTAATTTATATGAATTAATTCTATTATTTCAAAACAATTTAAAGATTGAAGGTTTTAAGAAAGCTATTTTTAGTTGTTTTTCCCCATTTTTTAAGAAGCTGTTATTCTGTGTTTGCTTTCAAATATATGTGCGTGTAAAAAATTAAATGATGTATCTTTTTGTTGGTTAAATTTGAAGGATAAATTACATATTTTTTGCTTTTCTAAATGATAGTAATCTGAGATCTGACTCTACGAAAGGCCACCTGGAATATAAATTAAAATTTGTATCTTTCACGCATGTGGCATCACTTATCTTGGATTAGAAACAGAGCTGGATTAACCATTAAAGAAAATAAGTACGTTCTTTTTATTCATCCAAAATCGTTTAAATATTTAATAAAAACAAATCTAAACGAATTTTGAAAATCTCGCTTCACCACATAACATTTTCATGGACCAGCATTGTGTGTATAAAATTTAAATTCGATAGCTTATAGGAATTACGTTAAAAATTGGTAATAAAATTCAAACCACAATAAAACACCATAAATCTAAAATAAAAAGAAAGGGATATGGTATCTTTTCCTCTCAATGAAAAAAATTCTGTGCTGATGAAGATCAATTGTTTGCGCAACAAAAAGAATAGCATGTGTCAAAGACAGAACGTATGATTTATTGAAATATGAGTGTTCGTTTGCACAAAGCTAAAAAGGCGAATCTGCATTTTTTCGCAGTTTTAATGTTAGAAATAGTTTCAGCGAAAGGTGCTCAACCATTACGTTACTTTAGTCTGTCAGCATTTAATTACCTACGTGACTTGGCGAGTTGTCGTTACTGTGCTGAAGTGAAGATTTTCAGTTTATGTTTAACATGCGCTCGCAGATAATGAGTTACTGCCGTGTTGCCATTTTTTTGGCAAAGTATAATGTATTTTATTTTCCCCCGTATAATCTGCCTATAATTGCTAAACAACTTGAGCTATTTAAAAAAGAAATACTCACTTCTTAATAATTTAAATTATTATTTATTTATATGATTATGTTTATGGAATAGGGCAAAGCTCACGAGGCAAATTCCTTTCATGAAACAGATATATCCATCTACCTAAAGTGAAAGATGCATTCATGAAGGACTAAGGAAATCTGACTCATATTTGCGTTACATATGAGGAAAACTAGAAAAAATAGTAATTAATAAAATATGTAATTAAACCACAATTAATGAAAGATATTTTCAAACGCTATGTATTATGCAACACTATGCAAAATGCCCCTTTTTTTTAACAAAGAGTAATTGTGTTTCTTATTCAGTTGTACACCGTGTCCACAAATGCATTTACCCTGCCTTCGTTTTCGTAGTCATTGCTGGTCGTAGACATATATTTCCAATTACGAAAGACAGACGCAAATATATATACTAGGAAACAGAAATGCGTTACTAGAAGAAATTATAAGAATTACCACGTTTATTAGAATTACTATTATGAATTAGAGTGAAGCATGTAAAGTAATTTTTTTTTCGGAAAATTATTTGGATGAATTTGCTAACGGATATTCTAGATACTAGAATAACTTGGATAAAAACGAATAGAATTAAAAATTAATTTTATTCTTCTTAAAGACAATCAAAAAAAATTCTTAATTTTCATATTCTCCGCAAAGTATATTTTAGTTACTTTTTAATTCAAGCTGAATGTTGTTCCACAAAAAACTAAGGAGAAAAATATTTGTAAATTAATGACATTATAATAGTGAATTATGCACAGTTTTAATCTGAACGCTGATGCCGATCAGCGACACATTTTAATTTCCGTCTGTCATACTTACTTAGCTCTGCTTATTATTGACTTGCTTAAGAGGAAATTTAATACCTTTCCGAAATCTTTTAATTATAGAAATGCAGCTGTAGAATGTGTGCGAACTTAACGCGCTTTTAAACATGCGTCTTTGAAGCACATTTATCTGCGTTTTTTTTTCTTTCTCTTGTGAATGTGGAAATATGGTGGCTAATAAATTCCGCATGCATTTCTCTAGCTGTTCATAGTCCAAATGAGCACGCGTAAATCACAGGTGGAAAGCGAAGAAACGTCATTTTTCCGCTGCATGTCGCTGCCTTCGTTTGCCAAAAGAAACGCCTACTCTGAAGCATTGGATAAGATGCGTAGGCATTGTTCTGTTAGTGATATTCATTAGGAAAGAAAAAGAAAAAAAATTATAAAAATCATCTACCGCTTTGGCTTTCGACCGATTCGTCCTTTGCCCCCGCCCGACACATTCTGTTTTTTATTATTATTGGTATTATTGCTGTGCGCTGTAAAACACGCCTGTTGCGTCACTTTCGCCGAGAGCGAGCGGTATGCACGCGTACGCGGTTAATGTGGTACCCGTGCTTGTGACAAAAGCTAATGTTAGTAAGGTTCTGGAAGAGTTTTTCTGTGGTAATGTGCCACCTGCTCACTCACTTTAAGGCTTTTGCTTGATCTTTTCGATAAATAGTTTGAAGAATGGTTCGCTTTCTTCTCAACTGCCCCTGAAACCGTTTTTCTGGTTTTATTTCTTGCTTTTTGAGATCATGGGGTTGACAAAAAACATCTGCTCGTAGTATTGCAGATGTCTGAGTCGCGTAATTTCGAGCTGCTAGTTTAAAAACCTAAACAAACTGTTGTTTTTTCCCCTCAATCATCCATGCAAGGAAATCGAGGTGATGATTCTGCTCCGGTCTGGATGAAAATATGGAATTTTTGCCGAGAATCGACGGATAGTTCAGTGAGTGTGGAAATTTTTTTTAATTAGCTAAAATTTTTATTCATGTCAATTTTAAAGTTAAATTTTAAAAGTGTTATTCATGAAATTTAAAAAAAAATATTTCTTTATTTGTGAGGTTAAACGGTTTTATTTATGTTATGTACAATTTTTTTCAAACAGTTTTATTCAAACCATTTTTAAATATATTTTTATGCCATTTTAGAAAATTGTAAGAATTGCAATCTGGAATCTAGTGCAATATTTCAAAGATTTTACCATCAAAAACAAAAATGAATTTTTAAAAAATTTTTTTAATTTTAAAAAGTAGTCAAAAATTGCAATCTAAGTTGTTGTGTTTAGATTCCAGTTAGCATATGAAACATTTTAAAATTAAAACGTTGGTTAAACTTACTACTTTTATGATAAATCTCAGAAAATTCCGGATACAGAACATAAATTCAGATATTTAAAAATCATCTTTTCAATGTAGCGATGCCTAACAGTAGGAAAACTTGCTGTGGTAATATTCCATAATCAGTTTTAAAATACGTAAAAATATTTACATTTGTTTAGTTAAAAAATAAAAAATCTTAATCTTTTGCTCACCGAGGCTTGCGACAAATTTTTCCCACAAATTTTTGGTAGCAGTACCTTCCTTACTACTCTGTAAAATTTGTGTACTGAGGGAGGCGTGGATCTGTCTTTCGAAGCGTTAAAGAATGCCTTTGTTCAGTTTAGAATCATTCCAGGTCCGTTTCTAGCGGGGTTGCAGCGCATAAGTACGTAGGCGGCGAAAATCAGGGGCTGCCGAACATTCGCGATACCACACCTAAATATTTTAAATTCATTAAATGCATGGTAAGTAGTTGTCATACGTAAGTACTTTTTATACAGATTGTCACTTAAAGCACTTAGTGAGTATGAAATAAAAATTTTATTGTTCATAGAGCAATTTTTTAATTATTTTTATTTTTTATTTATTTTTTTTTATTTTCGGACGGCAATCTTAAGAAAGTACTCGCGCAGCCAGTGGCCTAGGAACGGCCCTGAATCATTCTATTTCAGTTTACCTTTTGTGGTTTCATAAAGATGAAATTTTAAACGTAGTGATTCAAAAAATTACAACAGAACATAAACATCCTGATATATAATCGAATAACTCGTAGTCCACATGGCGGTTCTCCGCGTAATGCTGTTTAGCGAAGCCAAAAGTTTAAAATTAGGTAAAGTTTTACATTCTGGTATTTTTCTTCCAATTTAAAAACATTAGATCATTAATTTATCTTTCAGATTTAACTAATTTAAAATGTCTGAAGCTCTTAAAAAGTTAACCGATTGAAAAGCAATAAATGAACTTCTTAATATTTAATTCGATGTTGCATTTTTAAATAATGGATCTGATTTGTATAATAATGGATCTGATTTTTTTAAATAATGGATCTGATTTTTTAAATAATGGATCTGATTTTAATTTATAACATTTCTGACTTGTTATAGTTAATGAAACTCACTTCTTAATAATTCAGATATTGACGCTAAAATCATCTTAAGCTAATTCTTTCCAAAACCTTTGTTCTGTTCATTTACATTATGCTTCATGTCATTTATCATCGACTTAGCAGGTGTTGCCACTGTACGAAATGTAAAATTTTTAATTCACACCATCTGGAATATAGCCTATTCCATTCGAAGGTATATAAAATATTATTTATCTTCCAAAGAATAACTGCGTTTTCAGAAAACTAAGCAATTTAAGGACTAAATGCACATCATAATGATGTTTAATAATATATATATATATATATATAAGTAGCATAAAAATGGGGGTTCTGCGTCAGGGAACCCAGCCTGGGTTGGTCTTCTAGAGACACCTTGTCATCAGTATGCGGCGGCGTTCCAGTGTGTCCTGCGACGGCAACATTTAATCAAACATTCAGCCGCTGATAAATGTGCGATAACATAACGGTGATAAAATTTGAAAAGTTTTCGGGTAAGAAAAATCCTAACGTGGAAACATTTGTTGTTTGTTAAATGAACTCTAGAAATAGCAAGGCTTTGACGAGTTATCCGATAATTTTTTAGCAATATTTTGTTTTCTCTGGCTGTTTTATCACAAACTTGAGATAAGCACCTGTTACAGAATTGTATAATTCTTATCAATGAAAAGTAATTTTACTGATGTAATAATATCTACTTCAAATTTCATGTTTGATACAGGTTATGATATTCAAAATAGAACTATTACTTGAAAATGCAGTGAATATTCTCTAAAATGGCCATCCACGGTTTCACATGATGCTGATTTTATGTAGATATTCAATTCAATACCTGTTTATGCTTAAAGAAACTGTCACTTTCTGGATTGTTCGTCTTCGAAACGTTCTCGCCACGAGTGGTTCACTATATTTTAAAACAAGTTAGCATTATATCGCCTACTGTAGCAAACTCATGAAACTAAATATTTGCTGTTAAATTTAACGACAATTGGATTGAAAAGAAAAGAAGGAATTTCAGTTTTGAAAACTCAGCATTTATCTTTTGAACATGAAAATGCTATGGGAAAATATAAAAATGCTAATTATTTGAATAAAGTTAAAAACGTAAAATAAGGAGAGAGAGAATAGTAATACATGCATGTACATTAACTTTAAGGCTTCATCATCACAACATTAAATATTAATATGAACGCAGATGACACTGTTCACAAGAAGCAGTGTAAGAAATTTTGCAGTCGACTCATTATATGATCACAGAAGCGTATTTTATGTATCACACTGCAAGATTAAATTCACTTTTGATTAAACTAAATTCAAGTCTAACTCTTTTAGACTGCCTATCAAACTGTCATTTCTTCCGTCTTTAGCTGTTCAGCATTGAAATGCTAAGTAATTACAACAATGTAAAACAACTAATAGATTTATTCGAACATATTCTTAGTGCAAACTAAAATGTTAACTTTCGCCTCTTGCAAATCAGATAGGCAAAAGTGGTATTTACTATCCAAGTTTAAATTTTTATCTTAGCAACCTGGCCCTGTTATTCTACGAATACTAACATACTTTCAGTCAGAAACATTAACCAGCTCTTTAGCAGCAGTGCTGAAAGTCAGCATGACCGATTGGAGTTGCTATCTCTTTCTCCTTCTGAACTTTAATTCTCTCTCGTTATCTAAATTCGTTTCTGTTATATTTTGTGGTGGAGTAGACGAAATAATAGAAGTGTAGAAAGGATTCAATACAAGAAATAACATAGTAATTAAATTTTAAGGCATGATGATTCTCTGTGCTTCATCTCATGTACAGTAATTTAATTTTACTATATTGTTTATAATTAATTAAATTCTTTTTAAAATTGTTGTTAAACAATACAGATGATTCACTTTATTTTGGAGATGAGTACTGTTGTTTTATCATAGAAAAGATAAGTGAATGATCTTAGGTCTCATTCATTCATAGTAACATCTGATCCTTATTTATAAAGCGCGAAAACTTCGAAATGTAGACAATAATATCTGTCCAAAAGGTTAAAAAGTGTTATGTCCGATTTAAGGTTTTTCCAGATGAAGCTTTATTTAAAATCTTTCTATTTCAACTTTTCTTTGTGGGATAGATAAGAAGATTTCCGATTTCTGCTTTTCCATTCTTTGAAGGTAAACGCTACATAAGAAAATGTGACTGCAGATTATGCGACTGTGATTTATGTGTGAAATGATGTCACTGTGATCACTCCTTAAACTTCGAGTATAGATAACATTTGGATGTAACATGATAATCTGTTATTTTAAAATAGAAACTTCAAGGTTACTTCCTTCTTCGACATACCTCGTAACCATGAGAACGACAGCTGCAGTAGATGGTTCAAGTCACCTTATATTTTTCTCCATTTCCGTTTAACATATTTCACTTCACAAAAAAGCCTGTGAATGAAGAATCATTTGAACTACAGTCTCAAATCAGGTGGAGAAAATAAGTGTTGTACGGGAATGACGACTAGCGTTACGGTCGCAAGTGGGGAAGGATAGTTATGGCTTCGAAGGGTTTATTAAAAAAAAACACAGATAACAATGCTACATAATAGTGATATTTAATACAGGAAACGTGAAAGTATTTTTTATTTGATTACAGTGTGATGCTGTTATCTTGAAATATGATCACGTCAATTTCTAGAGAATAATCGCTGCAAAAATTGTTTGAGATTCAATGCCCTAAATGAAAGCGAAAAATAAAAACTTTTGAAATTGGGGCTAGCAGTATGTCTTACTTCAAAATATAATGCTTCAAGCACTCAACCAGATCGTATAGGATCTAGTTATCCAGGGTTGCCGTATAGGATCTAGTTTAATAGTTTTTAATAAAATGGATTTGTTATTTTACTAATTAATTTTTTCAGAAATGTGCGTTTTATCGTGAAGGAGAATGTTGAGCCATATATGGAGAAGTAGGATTTTTATGGCCATTTACCAAAGAGCGTCAACATATATCAATCGTATCCACACAGAAGATTTGCCCTCCTTTTCCTGTTCAAATATATATATATTGTTACGAAATGTACAGGCGCGGTGAGATAGCTTCCCCGCAAAGCAGTTTTAGGGTTGCCATAAAATGACAGCGAAAAGCAGGGTTGCCGTATTTGGCGAGAAATCCCATTTGGCGACAAAATTGGTGGTATACCATGGACGGATGGAGAACCTTCTGGAACGAATTCTTAACAGTTTAACCCAGAATGTTCTCGAACACAAGCCGAAAGCTATATAAACCCTTCTGGTCCGCAGTCAGTTAGTGTGTGTGCCTCGTCTAGCGAGCTGATAGTCAGTCACTGAGCTAGTGTCTCGAAGTCTAGCGCCGAGTTCGTCGTCGAGTGCATTGAGAGAGTCTTTTAGTGCATCGCGAATTAGTGCATCGTCGAGTTTTGTCTTAGACTGTGCTGAGTCGAGAGCTATAGTCTTGTGTATCGCCGAGTGCATCGCGTGGAGAGTCTCCAGAGTACGTGGATTTCCGAGAACAACCAAGCAGAGTTGGGAG